CCCTCCTGCTGGCTGAATCCCCCTCCCCGTGAGAAAGTCCCACCCGCCGGCCATTCGCAAAGAAGCCAGGCGGAACCTCCGCGGACCTCAAGTTTCCCTCCCCCTTTTGGATCGGATGGCAGCTGTGGGGCCGTTTTGCTGGAGGGGGTGGGGGGAGCAGACGCTCAAAGCCCTCCTCCTCCTCCTCCTCCTCCTCAAGGGGGAAGGTGGGCGCGGGGGCCGGGGGAGGCGCCCCGAGTACGTACTTCACGTTGGTGTTGGTGCAGATGATGTACTCGATCTCGTCGGAGTAGGGGTTCTGGAAAGTGAAGGAGCTAGTCCGCATCCAGAGCCATTCGCGATTCTTGGATCGGAAACGGAACATGACGGACAGCACCTGGCCCTTTAACTTCACCACCTGGAAAAAGGGGGGTGGGACCCTGTCAGGCGCCTCCGGGGGTCTGGGGCTGACCCACAAAGCCACTGAGGGGGGTCACCCCGGCCTTCGGAAAGGGCCAATGTGCCCTTCTGCTGGCACCCGAAGTTGGGGGTGGGGAGTTTGTTGACTTCAACTCCCAGAATTCCTCAGCCGGGAATTCTGGGAGTGGAGGTCCACCAGCCTTAAAAGGGGGCCAAGTTTGGAGACTTGGAGGCTCCTGGGCCCACCTTTCAACAGGTGCCTGGAGGGCCGGAGGGGATGATGATGGTTATGGGGTGGAATGCCGTGTCATGGACCCTTTGCAAGCCCCCTACTCTCTCTCTCTCTCTCTCCAAGCCCCATTAGGCCATCCCAGCTCTGCTGATGGCCGACGCTGAGCTGCCCTGCGGTGGGGTTACCTGCTGGAAGCTGTCCCTTAACAGCTGCTGGTCTTCGGGATGGCAGAACTCGACCACGTCCTTCCCCAGGAGTTCCTGGCGTGGAGGAGAGAGGCACCGTTTGTCAAGCAGCCCCCTCCCTCCCTCCCTCCCTCCCTCGGGGTCCCGGAGGGGGAAGCTGTGTAGCGTAACCCATGGCAGAGTATTTTCCCTGGAGTTGGAGAAACGCCACTTCAAAGCCTCTGCAAAGGAGGAGGCTCAGATGTCTGACTGGGGAAAGGAGGAGCCAAGCCTTGGGGGTCTCCCCAGCCATTTGCCCCCTCCTCTTAAGTCAGGCCTCTGTTGCTCAGGGAGGTGCTGTGATCCCAATGGACGTACGCACACACACCTCCCCTCCCCATCCTGCCTGGGGAATTCTGGGGGTTGAAGCACCACCATTTTAAAGTGCCCAATTTAAAAAAAATATATATTTTCAGAGTATTCTGGACCCAGCAGTGACCAAACACACTGAGAAAGACGACACCGAAACACTTATGGGTCTGTCACCCCCCCACCCAAAAAAAGCTTCTTCTTAACTGGCACGTAATTGTTTTTCCAGTATTCCTTAGATGAAATTAAACCTGATCTCCCCTTCAAGCCTCCCCCCCCCCCCCCCGCCCCCCCCCCCCCCCCCGGTCCCACCTCTCAGGCACTTCTGTGGCTGCTTCCACCACCCTCCGACGTCCTTTCCTTGCAAACCTGGGCTTCCTCCGTTCTGGTCCAAGTCAGAAGCCCCCAACTTTACGGAAAAGCCCCCTCCCCAGCCGCTCTGGGACCCTACCTGGGGCTTGTAGCCCACTGTGGCCATGCAGCGGTGGTCCACGAAGGTGAACAGCCCGTCCGTGTTGTGGCGGGAGATGAACTCGGTGGGCTGACATACCGTGTTCATGTCCGCGCAGCTGGGGGAGCTGGTGACCTAAGAAGGAAGGGGTGGGGGGTGGGGAGAAAACCCCCGTGAACTCAGGGGGTGCTTTACCCTCCGGGCGACCGATTATCCCTCGGGGCTTCCGAGAGTTTGGGGGACGAGCCCCGCACAGCCCCACACGCCTCTGGCCTACCTGCAACCTGCCGATGGCCACCAGGCAGAATTTGCTGCCCTGCCCAGAATCCGGATCGTCGTCAGGCAGGGAAACTCCTGGGAAGGAGGATTTGAATTCAGAACTGATTCAAGCCAACTGGCTTCCAGAAGACAATGGTTTAGGGCAGGGGTGTCCAATCTTGGCAACTTTAAGACTTGTGGACTTCAACTCCCAGAGTTCCTCAGCCAGCTTTGAAGTCCACAAGTCTTAAAGTTGCCAAGATTGGACACCCCTGGTTTAGGGTTTGTCAGCTCCTCCATGGTAGGTTTTTTTTAAAAAAAATAATTGGAGAGGAGGGAGCCAGGCAGCTGGAGGGTGGCACGATTGTCAAGGTGGGGAAGGAAAAAGGCCCAGGTGAGTTACCTGCCGGTGGCCAAGCTTTGATGTAGCCCGTGCAGTGGACGACCACGAAGTGGGGTTCTCCCTCTTTGATGGCACCCAGCCCATTCCTGGAAGGAGAAGAGATTTGACAAGGTTTATACAGGCCCTCCCCAAAACCCAGGAGATAATCCGTCCTCCTTTGGAAGCCTGGAAGTCGGGCTGTGGCTTTCCAAGGGAAACCCCAAACGGCACGGAAGAAGCCCCTCCTGCCTTTGCATCCCCCCCCCCCCCAAAAGACAATCCACGGGCATTTTCACCCTCTTGAGATTTTCTTCCCTGCCCACCACTTGCCTGCACCGATTCCTCATGTAGCTGAGCCGGTTCATGGAGACGGGGTCGACGGTTGCGTTCCCACACCTGCAGGACAAAGGATTTAAATAATTTTTTTAAAAAAATTCCGAATTCTCCTGAGAGACGTTGCCTGCAGAGGCCTCCCCTGCACGGATTGGCTCAACTGGCAGGGGCTGACAGCCCCTCCCCCCCCCCCCCCTCAAAAGGCATCGAACTGTCAGTGGCCACAAAGCAGCACAGTCTTGGCCTGTTGAATGGTGGTTAAAAGAAACCACGCTTAAATCAGGGGTGTCCAACCGTGGGGCACTTTAAGATGGGTGGACTTCAACTCCCAGAATTCCCCGGCCAAAGCTGACTGGGGAATTCTGGGAGTTGAAGTCCACCCGTCTTAAAGTGCCCCTGACTTAAATGAAGCACGCTGCCCCTTCGGCACAACAACCGCCTTCCAACACACCTCATCCGACAGATGAAGGACCTGCGGGACCCCATGCACATCCTCATGGACTGCTGACCCTCCTTCTTGACCGTCCCCGTCTTCAGATCCAGGATCCGGCCTGCGGAAGCCAAGCCAAGCCACAAAATGAGGACCGGGCTGCTGCCAGCAGCTGAGAAGGAGGAGAACCGGCCGTCGGCTCTCCCACGCTGAGCTGAGCCGGAGGGAGGAAACCTACCACTCAGCGCGTTCTCCGAGGTGGAGAGCTGTTCCCGCAGCTTCTCCACGTCGTCGGGGTGCACCTGGTCGTAGAGGGTGCTGCCGAACCACTCTGACTGGGGCTGGTTCAGGACGGGCGTCACCGAGTCGGAGACGTAAACTACCCGGCCCGTCTCGCAGGAGACGATGAAGAGGAAGCCGTCGGCCGCCTCCAGGATGAGGTGTTTCAGCTCCTGTGGACAGAGAGAGAAACTGAATCGGAGAGCAGGGTGGAGGCTGGGGCGTCAAAGGGCCAAGGAGTCCCCTCGGACGTGGGCGCACACGGCTGCCAACTCTCCTGCACGCTGGCCGCCCCATGGACAGGGGCCACGGGTTCAAAGCAGAACTACGGAGCTCTGCAAAGGGGAACAGAATAACAAAACAACAGGCTTGGAAGGGACTCTGGAGGTCTTCTAGTCCAACCCCTTGCTCAAGCAGGAGACCCTATATGGTTTTGGACAAATTGCCGATCAATCTCTTCTTAAAAGCCTCCACTCACAACTTCTGGAGGGAAGCTGTTCCACCGATTCATTGAAATTCAAATTCAGCTGTTGGGGGCGCAGTGGTTAGAAGGCAGCATTGCAGGCGATTCTGCCCACTGCCAGCAGTTCGATCCTGATCAGCTCAAGGTTGACTCGGCCTCCCATCCTTTTGAGATCAGTAAAATGAGGAGCCAGATTATTGAGGGCAAGAGGCCGGCTCAGTAAACTGCTGAGAGAGAACTTCAAAGCACTACAAAGTGGTATATAAGTCTAAGGGCTATTGCTAGTTTCTTCTCCCATCCCACTGCTGACGAAGAGATTACAAACACACAACCGTCCATCCCTCCTCCTCCTCCTCCTCCCCAGAAACGCCAAGGAGAGAGACCTGGTCGGTGAGGAAGGAGGGCTTGTAGCTGCCATCCGTGGAGGTGTTCCCGGTGCCCCGCAGCGACTTCATGTGGGAGACAGCCATGCGCAGAATGGTCAGTTTGTCCGGCTTGCGGGCCAGGGCGCTGCAGGTGGGCACCATGTCGGAGAGCTCGGTGATGTAAGCAGTCATCTTGTTCCGGCGCCGGCGTTCGATCTCGCTGTGGTTCTCCCTGGGGATGGAGAGAGGAACAGAGAAAGGGAGGACGGTTGCAAGGGAAGGCCGGGCTTGCGAAACAGGAGGGAGAGCGGACAAGTGGGGAGCGCGGAAAGAGGGCCACGAGGTGTTAAGGCTTGGAAAGAGGACGTGTGCCTGGCATGCAGACAGAGAAAAGCAGACCAGCTTTCGAGGAGAGTTGCGACCTTCTGCTTGAAATAAAACACAGGCGCCTTTGGGAAGCTGACAGAAAGGGCTTGGAGGTCCAACAGTGTCTGCGAATGGAGCCTCCATGGATAGAGGCAACCTATCCCTAAACACTCTCTGCCTGCCTGCTCTTCCTTCTATCTCCGCTGGCAGATCGTAGCCTATTCAGGCCTCCTTCCTTTCTAGCAAATTCTAGGAAACAGAAGCATCTGAAGCAGCAGGAAGAGAACACAGGCTGCCTCGGTGCTGAAAGGACCCTCACGACTTTGGAAGGTGGAGGGGGGAGGGGGAGAACCCCCTGCCCCTAAACCAGGTTTAGCATCTTGGCATAGGGACACGTGGTTCTGCAGGCCTCTTGAAGCAAAAACCTCCTTTGCAGCTGCAAAGTTTTGCAGAAGCTCTCAGAGACATCGGGCTGCAGAATCATCACCCCCCCAACTCCCCCCCCCCACAAAAAAAAGTTTTACAAGCTTTCCAACAAAAAAAGGGGGGGGAGGAGGAATTAGTCAATCAGAAAACCAGGACCCGGAAGCATGGAATGGGAGATGGATCTGGGTGGAGGACGTAGAGAAGGAAGAAAAGGGTGGTTTGGTTTTTAATAGGAAGAAAACCGCAAAGTTTTAGATCGCTCAATTCCTGCTAGTCGCTGGAGGGAGGAAATCTACGCTTTCCTGAGCCAGGAGTTCAGGGATGGGGGGGGGCTGAGCCCTCCGAGGGAGACATGGAGGCTTGTGTGAGGCCTCGAAACCCCAACCGGCGTCAGCCACAGCTGCGGCCCTGCCTGCTAACCACCCTGGCTGGTTTCTCAGGGCTTCTTGTGTCCGGCCCAGCGGCTGATCTCCCCAAACTCTCTGTCC